TTGCTTTAACCTTAAAAACCTCTGCCAATTTGCCTAAATTTAAATTCTCCCCTAGGTTCCCAAAGACTTGTTTTGATCAAGTTCAGGGAGTAGGGTGCTGTGGGAGACAACTCCAGTGACTCCCTTTGAATGCAAAACAATTACTGTGACTTTGATTACTTGGAGACTCATTTCCTTATACTGATATGTAAAAGCCTGGCTCTCTCTTCCTTCTCTCTTCAGTTGGCTCTGAGCATTGCAAATAAGGTTAGTAGAGGTGCTAATATGTGAAGTCTATAGCCAGACAATCCTGTTTCCTCATATAGTGTTCTCTACAATACAGGATGCAGCACTCATGTTAGAGCAAATAGCTCCAGGAATGTCAACTGAGTGTGAGCCTCAAGATAAGAGACTATGACTCCCCAGGGCACAAGAGTTTGTATATCAGAAACTGAAGCCATAGCCCCCCAAAACATTTCCACTGCTACCTTAATTGGGTTATGTAAATTGATCCTTCTGCATATATTTATCTCTGCACATTACAGACATGCTATTCTTGCACCTGGCCAGCCAGCTCAGGTTACTCAGTAGTCCCCAACATCCTCATTATCACTCATCCCTGAGCCACTCCTCTTTCTTCACAAGAAATAAATGCTAGGAGAGGCCTAGGATCAAGGCCTTTGTCTGCATGTCCTCATGAGGATTGGACTTAGGACCCCTTGGGTGCCCTTAATGTGCAACATGTCTTGGTGTCTTTATTCCCGCTGTGGGTTGCATTGGTGGTGGTAGATTGGAATTAACTTGCTAAGAGTCCAATAACATCTCAATGGGACTACAAATATAACTTTTTGGATTGTAAGGAAAACTACAAAGAGAATTACAATACTTGGATGACTGAACTCAATATTTGGGTTTACAATAGGGTGCCATTAAGATGGAAAATCTTGCTTAGTGTATTTTATAGAATAATCACACTTTCTGAGCCACGAGCCATGGAGTATACATCCAGCAGGGAGGAGATTACCACCTTAGCAGGCCTATGCTTGGGATGATTAATTTCCTCTGTTTCCTGTCACAGGTTCTAGTCCTGAGAGCGCAGACTTTTTTTTTTAATCTTTACCTTCCAAATCACCTCACACCAAGTGCTTCATGCAGGTAGCAACATATATTGGTTGAACACAAGAAGAGAGGAAAAGGGGAGGTCTAACAACACAGACAATTTTAGATATAAGAAACTTCCTCTGAATGGAGCAGCTGAGGTTATCCTGTGAGAACAAACAATTGTGTGTAACTTTTGTGCACTCTTAAATGAACAGAGATTAGGTATCTTGAGAAATTATTATTTTCAGCCATAGAATACAAAAGTAGGTTCTTTTCATTTGTTTTTTGCTACTAAGTAAAAACATTATAGCATATTTCACATCCATTCAGTTCTCTCCAATGGCAAAGTGCTGTCTGCTATGCTGACAGTTATAAGAGGTGTTGATGCTAGATGACTTTTGACAACACATTCTTCAATAAATACATTTACTGAGCATTGAAAAAGACTCAGTCCGTGCCCTTGGAAGCTTACAGACCAGTGGGGAAAGAAGACATTCTTTACCCAAATAAGCATTTAATTGAAATACTGATAAGTGCTGTGAAATTATAACACAAGGATTTTACCTCCCTGGGGGCAAGTTGGAGAATGAGGTTCCCGGGAGAAAGCGATCAATACACTGAAGCAAGCTGCACAATATTTTATCATTGTGAAGCCACAAAGTAAAATTTCCCATACAAAGGATAAACACCAAAGCTTGGGGTGAATGTAAATAGGAGAAATGAGGAATATTTATAGGAAAATGTGGCTTTTCTGTGACATGAACCCCCAAAGAGATAAGTGGTGGGACCTAGCTTACCTGATTTACAGCTCTACAGTGACCTAGGCTGCAGACAGTCAGGAAAGGCATGTCAAGTGCTACTAGAAACTTTCCTTTCTTATGACCCACCAGGTGGCAATGTGGGATGGGATTTAATGCTAGACTTAGCTTTTTAAAACTATGAATGAAACAACAGATCTGTTGTTGATCAAATCCTAGAATCAGTGAACTTGCCTTCAAGAACGAATGCTAATATTCCAACCTAACCCAACCAACACTTAAGAAGTTGCCTCTCTGGAGTGACACACAATGGGCAGATGGCTATCTAATTAATTGGTCAGCAGCCTGTTCAGAAAGTGGAGTCATTATTTTGGCTAAAGAGCAGTACCTAGCTTAATTGTGTATTTCCAAGATTTATTTAGCTGATACATCATTGTCTTTATCATTCGGTGTGTGCGCGTTATAAATCAGGATTAATCTTATTATGAGAGATGATGAAAGAGGATGGATTGAGAAATTTTGTGAAGCTGGTATGAGTAGATGAAGCAAGTGTCATTTTATTTGAGTTTCAAATAAACTAACTACTTAAATATCTCCTATATCAATGGCAGCTCAAATCACGCTAAGTCGGTAGCAGTTAAAATCATGCTAATTCGTAGCAGATATAATTCCCCAGGCACAAACCAAACAGCATGTCATGGCAGAAGCAGTGGGAAGAGTGGCTTTGGAGGACCAGCTTTATAGATGCTAACACTGTCCTTCATGACTCATGTGACCTGACCGTGCCAAGTTTCTTCATCTCTCTGCGCCTCACTTACGGGGATATCAAAGCACAATAAATTTGACATCATAATTTTCATTATTATCATGAAGGAAGTTTTAGTCTTTGTGTTCCACTGTGATGACTTCATAAATTTTGTTTTAAAGACTGGAAAAGTCCACGGGAGTCCCAGGGATCCCAGGGGTCCCAGGTAAGAGCTCACAACCTTCACAGTGTCTATAGAAGTCTTCGGGTTTGCTGGGCCCTGTGAAGATTTCCTTCCGACTCACGACAGCCTCCTCCGGGAATCTTGAAGGACTTTATAGCTTCAGTTACCAAATACATTTGGCAATTCTATATATCTTTCCTTCCCTGAGTTTCTGGCTGACATTTCCAACTGCTTGCTGAGTCCTCCCAGCATCTGAAGCTCAACAGACTGTAAGTGGATTGCAACATCATCACACTTATAGCCTTCGCCTTCTCCCATGGTCAGCATCAGACAAGGCTGAGGCTGGCTGGCTCTGCCAGCGCATGGCCAGGTTGGTATTGTTTTCTCATGAATCTGGGGCAAATTAGAGAAGATAACTTTCTAAAACAAATAAGGGCCACTCTTGAGTCAGAAAATAAATGAAAAGCCACACTTCCTTCCTAGAATACTCGAGCCACTCCCAGGGATGCCGCCCCACTGAATCCTGAGATCCCAGCCACCTGGCTAATGAGGCGAAGGCCCTGCGGTCATCCTAGGGTGACTCTTGCACTTTGCTTTATCCTCAGCCTTGTTTTTACAGTAAGTCACCTTGATCTTGTGTTTTTAATGGCTAGTTAGACTTGAACTCCACCTCCAGGTTCTGTTATCAGCATCAGGTATTCATCTTTCTCTTGGAATAGTTTGGAACCATCAGGCCTTTAGTCCTGGCTCACTTCTCTCCCCCAACAAGGTGTCCTGAAGATCTATCTGGAACTCTTCCGGAGTTCCTGACCCGTGAACTGGCTGGAATTGTTCACTTGTCCTTCAGTACCCAGCTTCTCTGCTGACACCACTCTTATCCTCGACAGCACTGAGCTAGTTTCTCGGTTTTCCCTTTCAGCTCATGTGGTTTGGTGACTTCCTAATTTTGCTTAAGCCTATAAGAATCTTATCTCTCTTGCTCCTGTTCACTCCTCACAGGCAACCCTGTGTTTCATTGGTGGAGGGGGGTCTGGACCCCCATGGATCTCGAGTCCCCTTAGCTGGTAGCTTACACCTTCGAGGGACAGCACTTCCTGCTGAGCAGGTCGAGGTGTCTCTGAGCCTAGCGTTTCTGTCCTGTATCCCTAGCACTGACTGCACTTGTGCCATCTGCTGCAGGCACTCTGAGTGAGAGTGCAGCTTACCGTGCTGAAGAGGGAAAACCACAGGTCCTCCACACTGGCTGTGGAGAGATCAGAGGTATGGATGCCCACAGCTTGCTTCAGGTTGTGGAAGTCAGAGCCTGGGGGGTGGGGAGTGTGGCTGCTCAGGGGATAGAGCTCCTTGGGGGAGGCTGCTGGGCTGGGAAACCTGTGGCTGGGCTCCTGCTGGGCAGGGACAGGTGAGGGGCTTATCCTAAGAGTGTGAGACCATGCGGAGCTTATGCTTGGTGGTGTCCTCCTTGCAATAGCCTCCCCCCATCAGTGTAAATGTTGCTTTGTTTTACATTTGCACAGCTTGGTTAGTCACAAAGGCACCAGACTCCAGGTCACCTCCTAGCCCTATTGTCCTTGGAAAAGGGTACCACAGGAGGCACATGCATTTGTTTAAAATCCTGGGAGAGAAGAGCAGGAAGCAGAGGAGAGAAGGTGTTAGATGCCTCACAAGTACATGACACGAGGAAAAGAAGTCTCAAGGAAAGCACTGTGGTTCTCTGAGAATGTCACTTTCATAGTCCTCAAGCCACTCTCATCTGTGTGTCACCTCATTGCATAAGCGGGGGCTCTACTCTCTTTCCTGACACTGGGCCACCTGTGACACAGATGGCACCAGGACATGGTACTGGCTCTGCACAGAATATGAAAGGTCAGCTTGGAAGTATTATAAAAATCCCTAGTGTTCGTGGGGAGGAAAAGTGCCTCTAATTTTCTCATTAAGAGAAGGTTCCCTTTGATGTTTTAAATTCAACATAAAAACAGTGAGAAAGAGAAACAGAGAGACAAAGACAGAGGAAATCCCTTTTAAATGATCAACCAAGTACTAGGGAAAAAATACAGATTATTGCAGTCTCAAAACTAATATTCAGGGGCTGGGGATTTAGCTCAGCGGCATAAGCGCCTGCCTTGCAAGCAGGCAGTCCTGAGTTCAATCCCTGGTACTGATAAAAAGGAAAAAAGACAAAAAAAAAAAAAAAAAAAAAAAAAAAAAAGAAAACTAATATTCAAACTCTAAGTCTGTTTCATTAAAAAAGTTTAATGAGTGGTAAAATAAATACACTTCCATTAAATATTAAATAAATTATTTACAACTTGAAAAAATACTCTTTATCTCCACACATCTCTTTATGTACAGAAAAAACACTTCTAATAAAAAGTGACGTGGCCACCAGAAGTTTCCCTTTTCTTCACCGAAAGGAGACCAGCTCATGGTTTACTCTGAGAAGGGGGAGGCTTCCGATCTGATGTCCTGTTAGGAGAGAGTGTTACAGGTGAGCTAGACCCCAGCACAGATAAGAAAACTTCAAAGAATAACCAGGACTCGAATTTCTGCCAATTTTTTCCTAGGATTTCTTATGAAAAAATGAGAAGAGCTCTTCAGAGACAAACGACAGCTTTGAGTTAAATCTCTCTTTCATTTCTCCTTAGGTTATTTGCTTACCTAGGCAGAAAAACTGCAAATGTTCACACCACTTGCATTAAGTTCTGCTTTTAAAAAACAGCAACAACTGTGATGAAAAACAGTTTTCCTAATCAAATCTACAGAGTGGACATAATTAAAAACAGAGGCTAGGCAGCTTCATGTTTTATGATATACAGTTAATTTAGGATAATTAGTACCAAGGGCATAATAATAGCCTCTTCCAGTTAATAGGCAGCCACTGTGTGCCAGCACAGCATATCCCAGGAGGACACTAAATAATAACAACACCAAAAATCCACCCTGACTTAAGTTAGTGGTCTTAACTTCTGAAAGTTAAGCCAGAACAAAGCAAAACAAAACCCAAAAAAAGGTTGATGTAGTCAATCCTGAGTGTGACACTGGTATCAACAGTATTTCCTGAGCTTTGAGATTATATCTGTAACAGTCCCAGAACACATCACAGCTCATAAGCACTGCTCACTGTCATAGTTTTCCACCACTAGGACCTCAAGAGTCCTCACAAAGGAAATTCTCAGCCAGCAGACTGAGGTTCCAGCATAAAAATGTGCATGTGTGACAAGCACCTTGGGTAACTCTTAACCCACAGAGTCCAGGGAAATGCAGGGCTTAAGAAGGTGGCCTCATCTTTCCTGAATGTCTGAGGAAATACAGTTCTTTCCTCTAACCAGCCCTAAATGTGTCATGATTTCCTCCCTCCCTCCTCCTCTGCAAGCTCTCTTCATGAGTTCCTGACTTTCACCATCAACAAAATATCTGTCTTCATAGTTACTTATTAATTCATTCATTTCTCTATTTAGGGTTGAGAGTTGAACCCAGGACCTCATGCATGCTAAGCTTTGAGATTCTTCCGTTCTTCTACTACTGAGTTGTACTTCCAACTCTGCAGCTGTCTCTCTTTACAAAAAATAAAAGTATATATTCTTCCCAGGTCGCTCTCAAGTTTGTGCTTCTCTCCTTACCACTCCTGGTCCCTAAAGGATCCTCTAGCCTATAGTTTCCCCTTGGTCACCTGTGATGGCCACACCCTGACCACAGTCGGCAGCATGTGAATTCAGCTTGCCCTCACAGACTTCTCTTTCAACATGCACCTAACTCGGGTCATCTCCATAGGGTGAACTCACTTTACTTCCCCTTGTATCCTGACTCTATTTCTTTGCCTCTATACTGAGCATTAGTTCCCTGAGAACAAGCAACACCTCTCACCAACATAGTGAGTTAATACCGAGCCCATGCTCAACATCCAGAGCAGGAAACTTTGGCTGTGGCTCCTGGTGACTCTGTCACTACAAACACATTCCTCATCTTACAATGATCATGGTATAGTCTTAGTACCACAAAATAGGTTTTAAAGATGTCTTTTGAAAGTCAAACCTGTGTCATTCTCAGTTATGCCATGCCATGTGTAGTGCCATTTTCTTGTCGAAGTTTCTTCCGTTCTTCTTCTCCTTCATATTCCCTGAAGTATCGCTTCCGAAGCCTTGGGAGAACAAGTGTTATTTCAGTTCTCTGTATCTGGGTGTTGATCAGGCTTTTCACAAGTAGCAGAATTTTCTTCTCCTGATTCCTATAGATAAGCGCTGTACCTCCTACTCAACCCGAGCCCTAACCCAGCTCTGAAGTATTACCAGCATTGCCTTTAAATAAACAGATTTCCAGAGAAATGAGCTCGAACTGTGTCTCCAAGGTGCAAAGTCTGAGAAAGCACAGGACATACTTATGTTCTGGGCACAGGAGAAGCAGGCTGTGGCACAGTATGATGCAAGAGAATCTAAGTGATCAGAATTTTTTAAAAGTGGCTTATAAAACAAATTACATTTCACTTGCCTATAAATATAAATGTTTCCATCTAGTTTAGTTTATTGCTTTTTTTAAAAACTAAGTGGTTTAAAAAGCTCTTGGTGTTGTGTGAGCAATTTTAGGTTTAGTTTCCTTAGTCAAACTACTAAATGTTATCATTAAAATCATACAAACTTTGTCGGCCATCTAACAAAAATATCTTTAGTTATAAGAAAATAACAGCTGTGGCTTAGGTTTAGCTTTTGTATCATACGTGAGGAGGATTTGAGAGGACAAGAGAAACTTGTGGCTTCATTTGAGGAGCACCAGTCTTGCCATGTTTTCTCCAAAGGGTTATTAAATGGAGCAAGCTGAATAATTAGAAGTTTAACTATGCAAAGCGTCATCCTTAACTAGCAATTTTTCTTCTGTCCTTCTATGTCAAATAATATTTTTTCCCTGTGTCTTTCCTAAATACATTTGCCTCACCTGACCTGAGGAATAGAAGACCAGCGTAAACTGTAGGGCATGCAAAACAGATTCAAGCTGCACATCAAACTTTATGTGCATGCTAAAATAATTTTATGTGTCATCTTTGCACTAGCTGATCTGAACTTAACAGTAAACCATGTCAGAAGATAACCCCTTCTTTCCTGAAGTCATAGTCTTAGATCATATACACAATCCGGTTGTTAAAGTAATTTACCAAGACCAAGAATTAGAATGAGAGTCCACTGCTTTTCCCAAGCCTGAGGGCTGGCACATGAGTCATCTCAGAGCCACTCAAGCCTCCCCCAGCTCCCCTCACGAAGTGGCTACTGTCAGGTAGACAATGCCACCTTCAGGCACTGAGCCTGCCCACTGCCTGGCATGGCCCAGTGCCCATATTGACTAGCAGGAGGTGAGTAAGTGGCATGCTGTTCCCAACACAGGCAGAAACTGCCAAGGTGCAAATAGTCACAGAGCTGTACTCGCTGTCTGCAGCACACCATGCAGAAGAAATGTGTGGTTTTGCTTTTTAATAGGTTCCCATGTTACTTGATTGATAATAACAAAACAGGCCTAAGCTGCATGCAAGCATCATGCTATGAAGTTCCTAACTCAGACGGTTGCTCTGTAAAGTGAGCATGGAGAGCCGTGGCTGCTGATTGAAAATTCTCTGGGATTTTTATGCCAAATCTCTGTGTTCAGTGCTATGAACCTGTTGTGAATTAGCCCTTAGTTTCTGGAGACCTGCTGAGGTTTAAAATATTCAAAGACAGATAGCAGACCTTTCGGAGAGAAAAAAAACCACTGGTAGAAAAAAGGAATAAAATAACACTCCCAATTTTTAAATTTAAAAATTTTAGTCATGAAAAATAGAAGGCTGGGAATATAGCTCAGTGGCACAGCACCTGCCTGCAAGCACAGGGTGGTGAGATTGATTCCTGATACCAAAATTTAAAAAATAAACCAATGCAAAAGAAAAAAAAAACCTTACATATTAAGTTTCAGTGGTGGCCAAAGTCAAATAAATTTTGAAAATATTCTGTTTCAAAATCATGCACCAGGGGCTGGGGATTTAGCTCAGTGGCATAAGCACCTGCCTTGCAAGCAGGCGGTTGTGAGTTCGATTACCGGTACCAATTAAAAAAAAAAAAAAGTGATATTCAAAATGTACCACCCAAAAACCAACTCTGGGAAAATTCGGTATTAGAATGTGGCAGGACTTCCCTTGGGGGTTTAGCTCAGGGCACACTTACTGGACTGTGATCACCACTGCGATGGCTGTGAGGCTGGAGGCAGAGAGAAAAGCAGCAATGGCCACCAGTGCGATTTTTGACAGGTCGTGGCCAGCAATCTTGTGAGTCTTCATGGATTTCTCTCCGCACCTTTCTCCAAAGTAATCCTGGTCACATCTGCAAATAACCCGTGCTTCAAAATTAAAACCACCAAATACATTTTGTGCATTTCAAGTTTACTTTCTAGGTCAAAAACAGCCATTGAATTCCAACATTTAAAAAATAATGTCACACTAGATAATCCGTATTCCAGAATAATCCTGTTCTAGCTAAAGATCTCTCAGCATTGGTCTGGGTGTGGTATTCCAAGAAGGCACACCTCACCAATCTTTAGTGGCCACCTCTACACTGGATGACCTGTTACACATTTATACCATCCCTTCATCTCCAGGATTGATGCTTTGGAGAAGGCAGCACAGCATGAAGGATTATGAGATCCTTTTTTAAAAAGAGGTTTAAAAAACCACATTTTTTAAAGTGGTGTTTAGGGCTGGGGATTTAGCTCAGCGGCATAAGAACCTGCCTTGCAAGCAGGCGGTCATGAGTTCAATCCCCCATACCGATTCAAAAAAAAAAAGTAAAGTGGTGTTTATCCTGGGCGTCAGCAAACTATAGCTACACTAGAAACAGGCCAATTGCCTTTTGCTTGATTTTAAATGTAAGCGAGGAATAGTTTTTGTATTTTTCAATGGCTCCTTTTTAAAAAAAAAAAAAAAAAAAAAAAAAACTTGAAAACAAAAAAGGACAAAAACGGTACAGAATTTCAAAAAATAGGAAATTAACACTCATTAATATATTGCTTATTGTTATTTGAAAGTGCTTATTCAGATTACAAGATTTTTAATTGGTCCTGTAAGCACATATGTGACCTTGTGACCCACAAAGCCTAATGTTTACGATGTTTGCAACCCGATCCTTTAAGAAGACATTTGCTGACTCTTGGGGGGGGGGGGTGTTTGGTTGTTTGTTTGTTGTTGTTGGTGGTGAGGGTCCCACTGTGTGGTTCAGACTGGCCTTGAGTTCACTATACAGTGCAGGCTGGCCTGGAACTCAGAGTGATCCTCCTGCTTCAGCCTTCCAAGCGCTGGGCCTGCAGGGATACACCACCTTGGTGGCTGGCCCTTGGTGTATACATTAAACAAACCCATGGTTTTCTATGGTGCAGAGTTTCTGATGTGGCGCAGGAGACACAGGATTACACAGAGCCGTAAGAACTTACTGGCAAGTCACTTTGTCCATGTTCTCCAGGTATTTGCACTCCCCGTGAATGCAGAAGTTTTGAAACTCTGCCATGCATGGATTTTTCTTCTTCTTGTTTCTTCTGTTTTTTCCATTTTTGTTTCCCTTTTTCTTTCTTTTGGGTTTATCTGAAGTCTTCTCGCCTTGTGTCTTGTTTTTCTTAGGTTTCACTACCTGTTCAACTGAAAAATGGAAGATGGGTTTATTAACCACTTTACTGGCATGAGGAGTAGGATGTGGGAGGCAGGAGACAAGGAAACCCCAGCATGTGGAGCCCTGGAGATGGGCAGTTAACTGTCCCCACAGTGCACACCCAGGAAGCGAGCAGAGAGTGGCTGTGCTACACAGCACTGAACAACCTGGACACCTTAGGTCTTTCAATTGCTTACACAAATATTTTAGCCTTTGTGAGGGAGTATTTTTTGAGTAAAGGTCTCACGATGCAATTCAAGCTGGTCTTGAATTCTACACACTTTGTAGCCCAAGCTGGCCTCAAACTTGCAGTGATCCTCCTGCCTCAGCCTCCCAAGTGCTGGGATTACAAGAGTGTACCACCATGCCTGGAAAACCCCGTGGTTTCCTGATGCCATTGATTATGGTGGCCATGGGCAGTATCGTTTGGTCTTGTACACCTGCAGTGACCTTGTGCCTCGCCCACTACCCCACTCAGGAATTGATGGGCATTACTTGAGGGAAGGTGGAAAAAAATGAAAAGGAGACTTTAATCAATTCTTCCAGCTCCCAGATTACAACAGATTCTAATTAAATGATAGTCGACAAGAGTTCATTCTGTGTTCAATCTATTTGCAAATAGCAAATAGACTGATTTTGTGTTTCATGCCTGCAAAAATTTTTCTAAATTATTGAATCTTCAGAAATGTTATTCAGCCTTCTGGTTATGCCAGGCCTGGTTTACTCATACACTAAACATGGAGAGGGGAGGTTTCCATCTAGTGCAGTACATTTTATTACATGTAATCCCTTAAAAGGTTTATATCATCAAGTATTTAGCAAACAGAGCCCAGGAAAAAGAGAAAATACCATTAATCATAAGGTCACCCAGCACCCACTCAACAGGAAACATTAGAAATGAGGTGGAGATTAGCAAGGTCATCAAATACAGAAACTCCATGACTAAGAAAATGACAAATCTTTTAGCAGAGTATTAGACTATCATTAACAAAAGTCAAATTAATAGTCATTTGAGTGGGTGCTTATGCAATTTCTATAGGAGATTTTAGGTAAAAAGTGCAAGTTAGAATGAGTCCTCTAAAAGAAACATTTTACATGAGGTTTTCTGCACTTTATCAGATCGACTATGAATCTCAGAGTCACACACACACCAAGGAGTTACAACAGAAATCGCTTTACATCCACGGGCCCCTAAATGAGCAGCCTTTCAGAAGGGCTTGGCCAATGGTTTCAAGCTAGTTTATAACACAAGACAGTTTTGAGCATTAGCTATTGGTTCCACCAATAATAAACCTCCCAGAGCACAAAGTGCCCAGCTTGGAAGCATGACCGTGCAGGGTACAGGAAGCTTTGCCACCTGCCACTGACCTCAGCCGCTGCCCCCGAGGGGCCCACAGTCCCTCTCCTATCAAGAGCCCCACACAGGCAGAGTCAGGTGCTGTGACATCTTCCCCTGCCTGGAGGACAGATGCTGCCAGCACAATTGGCTCTGATTTGCTTCAGCCTCCTTTTCCCATTATACCCCAGAGTGATGCAGGTACTTCTTTCTAAGCAAAGAGATTTTTTAAAAAGTCAGCCAACAAAAATGTGGAGGGGGCCATGAATCACTACTTTTTAGCTGATGATCAGGATTGGGGTTAAAGCCAGGATTCCAACAATGTTAAGATGATGCACACTTTTGTCCTGAGCATTTCCAGCAGGTGTTACTGTGGTTCTCAGCACTTTCTCAACACCTACTAGTTAAAAGGAAAAAGACTACTTCTTCCTGTCCTGTCCTCTCTCCTTCTGGGCCCTTTATTTGCAGAAGGGTGGTGCCGATGGAGGAGGGGAGACACGCCCTGAGAATCAACACACAGGAATAGTTGACTGTCAAGGGGGCAGGTGGAGGAGTGGAAAGGTCAGCTTGGGCTCCAGTTCTGGCTCAGCTGCTTGCTACCTCTGTGACCTTGGCCAGGACAATCTTTCACAGATGTCAGTAATTGCATCTCACAAATGGGCACACAGTTCCTACTTCACAAAATTGTGAGGGTTAGGGTTAAACATAAACATGCTGGTTAGGCAGTGGGCATGTGGGATGTGTCCATACACGACTTCTCTGACTCAGTTTACCTAGGAGTGTGTAGCGTTCCTGCGTGAGAAGCTCTGGGGAGCCTTTCTTCCAAGCCTGGCCTTGGCCCTACAGACCCCCTCTCACTGCTCTGAGCCCCGCTGGGCCCTGCTCACCTCTGACAGACTCATCTACGATGTAGCCCAGCGTTGCCAGTTCAGTGTCATCCTCTTCTGAGTAGTCCTCCTCAGCCCTGGAGGACGGCTCGCTGGTAGAAGGCGTGGCACTCGCAGCAACCTCAGTGCTGGTGGTGACCTCGAAGCCACCGTTGTCGCTACCGTCCCTAGACGATCGAAGCCCACCTTTCCCAGAGTCAGTGTCATTGTGATCCAGCCCAGCGACATAACAGCCTGCAGAGAAGGAAGGGACAGCAAGTGAAGGGCGCCTCCCACCAGGCAGCTGCCCAGGAACGGCTGTGTCCGGAGCGGGCCGGTGCTGCTGCTCGCTGCCCGTCACCCGGGAGAGTCGCTCCGCAGTCCTCCAGGAGGAAGCTCAGCGGCTCAGGTGACAGTGCCGCTCAGATCCGGGGTTCCGCCCACAGTCTACGCGCAGTTCTACAGCACCAGCCGGCCAGGGAAGCGGAGCGAATGGACCCGGCATCCCGGGCCATCCCGGAGGGCTGCGCAGGGCGCTGGCTGCTCGGCTGTAAGAGGCACCAGGTAGCTGAAACCTCCCCTGCCCCGGGCTCATCTATCTGAAGGGACATAGGACAGAAGGGCACCCCGGCTAGGAGCTGCCCCGTCCTTTTCCCCTCCTTACTGTAACTCCATGGAAGAAATTCCAGCCCCAGGTGACCGTTTGCCACCTGAGTTCAGGACCCCGCTTTATTTTTTAAGTCTCCATCGAGCGGCCTCGGAGGGGGCTGTTCTCCCCTCGCCGGGCCCCTGGGATGTCCTGGGAGGTGACCCCCCAGAAGCAGACAGGGAGGGCTCCGGCACAGGCGGGCACCCGGCGCAGGAGCTCAGGACTGCAGATCCGAACCAGCGGAGGAGGCACGAGTGGCACCGGGCCCTCCAGACACCGGACCCCTGCCTGGTCCTGTGCCCTGTGGCCTCCTTCCCCGGGAGCGGTGCTCACCTGAGCCGAGGATCAACAGCAGCAGCAGCAGCGCGGGTGTCATGGATTCCCGATCCCCTGTCCCTGGTCCCCTGGTCCCTGTCGCCCTGTCCGGGAGGAGTTTGCTCAGTGGCCTCTCTGCCCCGCACCTGCGCTTTATAGGGCGGGACGGGGTGGGGACAGGCATGGGGCGGGACGGGGCCTCCCCGTGACGTGGACACTGCGCCCACTCGCGGCTTGGCTGGCTGGGCGGGAGGCCCCCCGCTGAGGACGCCAGCTGAGACCCAGGCTGGGATGGGGACAGAAATCGGCCAGTGGGAGGGAAGGCAGGCAGCACTGCCAGCGGGTACTGACAAAAACTGAAATTAAGTTTAGAAAACACCAAGCAAACCTAGGCATGGTTGGCTGTGGCCAGCCCATCAGATGGGGACACAGTGCTTCCATCCCGAAGGGCCGAGTTCCTCCTCACCTATGGGGAGCTGGATCTCCTTTCTTCTAACGTTTTCCTTTTATTAGTCAACACGTGTGGCACAAGGTGACCACATTTCCCTCAGCGGGGGTGAGACATGGACGTCACACCTCTTAATTCTTTTTCCATTGCCTTCCCCTCTCCCCCCTCCAGCTCTTGGTCCCCTTACCATGTGAGATCTGTCTCCCTGTTTCCAATCGTCTTTTATTCTGCTTGTTAAATTGGTTTCTCATATAACAGACACCATTCAACACTTATGCTTGTGTCTGATTTGTTCCGCATAGTGCTGTGGTCTGAAGTTTATCTTTCTTTATGGTAGAGTAATGTCCCATTGTGTGTAAATAACCCAATTTGTTCATCTGTCCATGGATAGACAAGCCCTTTCCAAGGTCAGATTTTCAGCCTTCCCTGTTTTCTCTCTGACACACAGGGCCTGTTCTCTGTCTCCAAATGACATGTTTAAAGTGTTACCTACACCATGGCATGCAGTAGTCCTGCTGGATAGTACCAGCTCCTCACTCTGCAGGAGCAGAGAGGGTGGTTCAAACACTAGGGAGAAGAGATGGAGACCATGGTGATGGCAGATGTTGGGCAGGTGTGACTCAAAGTCCCTTGGCCCCCTCTTGAGACCAAATTGCTCTTTGAGAAGAGGATTTCTGGGAAGGACCCTGCTGATGCTAAAGGAGAAATCTTACCTGGTAGCTCAGGGGCAACTGGGGCAATCAGTGATGGCAGGTCAGGGCCCCTGTGTCTCAGGCCCCAGGGTGAAAGGGGCAGGGGAGGCCCAATGAGCACGGGGAGGGCCCTGATCACAGGCAGGAGATAAAACGGGGGGAGGCAGAGGCTCCCTGAGGTGACTGACTTTAATAGTGGCTTTTCCTTGGTTTCCAGAAGAGACGTTAGTCTCGTTGCGCTCTCTCTGAGGTCTCCTGAACTGGCAGATAACCTATCTCTGCCCCACCTGGGCCAGCAAAGCAGCCCGTTGAGGAATGTGGGCCACGGTGTATGTGCCCCAGTGCCAAGGAGCCCTTTCACAGCTTGCTCTTCCTCTGTGTGCCACAGTTCATAGGCTGGATAACTTCAGACTGTGAAAAGCATGGGACAAATGGGAGTCAAGTGGGCATCTTCCTGTCAGCCTTGTTGAAGGTGTGTTTTGTGCTGGCCACCTGCTTTACTCACAGGGGACAGGGACAGGTACTGAGGGGGAGTTGAATGATGACCAGTTCCCTGTTTGTCAGGGACTCAGTGGCCTGGGACACATAACATACAGGAATAATTATCACACACTGGGGAGGAAGCGTTCAGAGTGAACGGAAATCACTGCTATTTACTTTTGCTCACAGAAAGCAGGGAAATCTTCACTGGAAGATGAGAATCCCCTTGAAGTTTTGCCTGACACAAGGCTTAGACCCAGAGCAGGACAGGCTGGGATGATGGTACTGCCCACTCTGGGGGAAGTTAGGACTGCTCTGGCATTGTTGGTAGCAGAGGAAGCCCCTGTGACTCAGAGGATTCAGAGATTTGCCACGTACTTCAGCGGTGAGGGTGAGGTTTTCTGTGGAGCTCAGAAGGTGACCCATGCTACTGCACCTGTCTGTTTTCATGGGTTTCATTTGTGTGTTACCTTTGCTGTTTCTGTTTTCTACTTTTCAAGTTCATTTTATTTATTTGTTTATCTTTTGGTACCAGGGATTGAACTCATGACCTCACACTTGCCAGGCAGGCACTTACGCCACTGAGCTAAACCCCTAGCCCTCATTTTATTTTTAAATTGACAATTAAAAATTGTTTGTGACCCACACCATGAGGTTTTACACGTTTACACTGTGACTAAATTTAGCTATTTATTAACATCTGCATTCTTCCTGTTTTCTTCTATGTCCCAAAGGGCTCACATCTTGTATACCTGAAAGTATGCTCTTTGCATTAGAAATTGTTTGTCTTTTCAAATTCAAGGAGTGATTGTTTCCATTCCTGTGGCCGCCTAACCTGATGGCAGATGCTAGCACACCATGTTTATCTTTCATTCATTGGGGTAGTTACTTTATTGTAAACACTTGGAAGAACTGAATGACTGGTAGGAAGGAGAAGGAGGAGGAAGAAAAGGAAGGGAAAAGAGAAGTAGGAGGAGGAGAAGGGGAAGGAGAAGAGGCAGAAGAAGAAGGCTTTAAGTGAACTGCTGTACTTGGTGCTGGGCACCTTGATACACAGGAAAGATCGGATGCTGTACTTGGGCTTGGCCTTAGCCAGTCCGGCAGGTGGTCTGAAAGCAGTGGGCGATTTGATACAACAGAAACTAAATACATGTGATCTACAAATCACAACATTTATACAAACAGATCTTCCAGGCAGTTCATTTATGCATCACATGCATTTGAGAACAAGGTCATAGTCTAGTCAGGGGTACAGAAGTTCCAGAGAAATCTACCGTTTCCTATATGAACACACAATCTGCAGTCCACTGGTAATTTTGAAGCTAGTCATTTAAGTCAACTTTTTCTTTGTAGAAGAAAGGTTTCTCGGGTTAAAAAGAGGCCCTTTAACTTGTCAGCACTCTTGTATGTCTTAGATGACATTTACTGAAGATGTAAGCTCTAAATAGTTTGTAGATTTTAGGATCGTCATAAAACCCTGTATGGTAACAATTTTCATCTCCTCTTAACAGAGGAGAACATCGAACATGCTGGAGGTCTCACTTTTTCCTCCAGAGACACGATTCCAGTGCAGAGCATAAGTCCACATGCTCAATCTCTGTAAGATGTAATAGCCAGTACCTGGCACCCAGTAAGTGCTCTTTAAGTGTTCTTACAGAGAAAATGAATAGGTTGTTACGTTAAACCACCATGGCACCATTAGAACAAGTAAACTCAGAAATAAATTAACCTCTGGGTTTATAATAACTATTAAGGCAGAACAGATACTTAAAAATAATAAAGAGATCAAACTTACTACTCCTAGGCCTACGAGATGCTGACTGTAGAACTTCAGGACAGATGGACAATACGAAAGGAGTTGGGAGGGCTGAGGGGACCCGGCACCTGTCTCTGAGAAGGGTCTTCCTGATTCGGGGAAGCTGACAGCTGACACATGGCAAACACATCCCTGTCACCCAGTCTGTACCACTGCAATGCTCCGGTTAGCGTTTGTCTTTTCTGGTTTGCCATGGACAGTGCAGGCTGGATCGATTCTTGCATGTAGGTCGAGTCATGGTTCTCACTGTAAAGTGCTGAGTCAGTCATCGGGTTTGCACCTTACTCTGGGTCAGTTTGCTAAGCTGTTCCTCACAATCAGCTTTACCATCTAAAACCTACCACAGCAGAGTTTTGAGCCCACCCGTCACTCACTCGTGCATCTGCCAGGATTTGTTCACTCAGCACCTATTGTGACCAGGCATTCGGGATGTCAAAATGAACAGGAAAATCTGTGAAAGGCATTTCACCATGCAGAAATGGATGCGAATGAGAAAGTAACTTGAATGCATTAGCTATGATGGGGTGATCTTGTAGATCAGGTCAAGAGGAGCAAGGGGTGGAGGATGCTGGTGCCCCAGGAGCCATGAAGAATATGCTGTGAAGTCCTCATACAATCAGGACCAGGCGGCACTGCTGCAGAGTGGTCAGCAGCCTTCCAGAGACAGCAGGAAGTAGACCTAACCCTTGAGACAGACCCAATGGCTCATCCTTGTAAAAATAAACTCTTCTTCTTCCATCAGCTCTCCTCTTTGTCACGGGCCACGTAAACAGACAACGGGCCAAGCCGGGCCAGCTGCAGTGCTGCCCTCTGACGTCATCTGACGTTGTTACTCAAGCTTATTGGTACCATTTAGTTATCCATAGTGATCACATCCATCATAGCTGTACTTGTAGCTGTGCATGAGATAGCTCAGTTCTTTTTTCCTATTCCTTTCCTCTCCCTCCAGCCTTTCCTCACCTCCTTATTTACAAAGCTTTGCTTCCATTTTATCCTTTCTATCCTCATTTTTTCCTTTCCTTTCCTGCTTTCCCACCAGTTCCCCTTTCCTTTTGAGCAGTTCCTTCCTATTGCGTAATAGCTGTTATGTATTTTGGTTCTTATTTACAGTCTCATTTTCTCACACTAGAGAAACAATGTAATACTTATATGTGTGTCCCATTTATTTCACTTAAGAATATGGGCTCAAGTTGCGTCCATTTAGCTATAAATATCTCATTTATCCTTTTATGGCTGAATAGTACGCCAAGGTATTTAAAAAAAACATATATGTTTTTACTCATTCATTGTTGATGAATATTTGGGGTATTTCCAAGATTTAGCTATTATAAACTGTCTCTGTAAACAAGGTACATTTACATCAGTGTGGCATGATGTTTTTAACTCTTTTGGGAAGATACTCAGAAGGGGAATAGCTGGGTTGAATGGGACTTCTAGTCCTAGTTTTTTTGTTTGTTTTTTGGCACTGGGGATCGAACTCATCACCCCACACATGCCGAACAGGCACTCATATCACTGAGCTAAATGCCTGGCCACAAATCCTAATTTCTTGAGCAATCTCCACACTGAGTTTCACAGTGGTTGTACCAGTCTACACTCCCACCAACAGCAGAAAGTGTTCCTCCATCTCCACATCTTCGCCAGCCTTTATTGTTGGTGGATTTCTTGATAATAGCCACTGTTTCTGG